CAGGCCAAGACAAAACCAAAATAAAACTAAGATTTATTTTCCATTATGAATAAAGAAACTCTAATCTGATTCTTTTAGCAGTCGTGTTAAACAAAAAAGAATAAAGAATGATTCTTATTTTTTTCCCCCGAAAGTCAAATTCAACCAGAATTTGTGCTTCTGTTCATCAAAATTGACTGTAAATATGCATCAGTTAAGATTTAATCTAAATACAGAGTTAACATGTTTCCTTTGTATGACAATTTCATTCTTTGTTAACATGGTTTTAAAATATATATATTTAGATGCCTTTTTGTGTTTATAAATCTTTTTCTACGGTTAATTCCTTTCTATCATTTTTTTGTGGATTATGATCAGTAATCATTTTATTTTGGATATTTTTGAAAATGGTAAATTTCTTTTTTTCTTTTTTTGGTGTGGAGGCATTTTATAATTTTCATCTACATGTATTTAGATATATTATAGATTTAAAAAAAAGAAAATCTTATGCATTTTCTATGTAACATTAAAGGAAAAATAATGTGAAAATATTTAAGATTAGAGTCACATATTCCACATGTGATTGGGCCCATGGCTTATGATTTGCTAGCCACTGGTTTTGATATAAAAGAAAATGATAGTCAAAAATTGATAATACTTTAATTAAAAAATATAATATTAGCAGCAGCAATATTATATTTAAAATAAAAATGTTGAGTCATGAGAGATTGGGGGGTAAGAATGTAATCTGCAAAGTGGTCAGGTCAAAGCAGCTGGCACATTTTAAGAACGTCTCCCTGGGGCAAAAACGGAACATCTGTGTGAGTTATATGACAAGCTTATCCTTTATTTCCAATCTGCATTGTTTACTGCCATTGATGGATGGTCTGAATAAAGGTGTGATTAAAAGCAAAAGAATTCTGATAAAATTCTAGTTAAAAAAAATGATAATAATTATCATGTAAGTCTGCTTAATGAGACTGAAACAAAAGTGTTTTTGTTTTTATAAGGGAATGCAGAAGTAAAGAAACATCTTCATTAAGGCCTCATAGCAAATACTTAAAAACCTTTGGAAAAACACCATGACAATGATCTGCTTATCATTAAAAGGGTCCTTTTTCTCAGATTAAAAATGAAAATTATTTTGATGGTCTCCATATCATCCTCTTAAAATGACCCAGTGTATAGCAAAGGTCACTGCAGAGTTAACAAATCAAATCTATCATTGAAAATAAGTCACTGCCAATTAATGAGGATTCCCATTTCTTATTGGCTGTTCAATTGTTATTTAAATAAATTCACACTTGTCAGTGAAAAAGTTGGATCCACTCCACCCGATCCCAGAATGAAATAAGTTTATTGGTAAAGTTAGTTGCGTATTTCTACAACAGCAAAAGTTAAAGTCGAAGCCTTGTTAAAAGATGATTTCAACTCTTGATTTGCAAGGCAAGCCTTAGTGCAATATAATCCTCCATCCGATTAGCCTTGTACTGGACACAATTCACCTCACATATGCAAGTAATACCTTGCTTCAAACACCAAATTAGAATTAAATTTCCTCTCAATGTTTATTAATTAGCAGTTTATAATAGAGAGGAAAACAACCAAGTTTGTCTGTCACCATCTCTTCACTTGGCTGATTATAAAATCAGTTTTTTTATTTTCTTTCCACCCTTTCTCATTTTTGAGTTTCTGAGCTTTTAACATCTTCTTTGTCAGCTAAAATGAGAGCATTTTTTTTTTTTTTTTTTTATTGTGCTTCACTTGTAGCTTTTAGTCAGACAATGCTTCACTTAAAAAATGATAAAAATCAGTCATTCAGAAAAATCATAAGCACTTCAGAGAAACTAAATTGGATCTTTTCTCACTTAAGATGTTTACATTTAAAGAAAAAAAAATGCCGACTTTATTAATAGAAGTGACACAAAAAATTCTTTCAGAACAGGATTTTATGCTGCTCAAATTGACACACAAAACAACATCTGTTAACTAATTTTTTTTTTTTTTTTTAAATCAGAAAGAGAATTGTGTGGTAATAAGAGCCATTCTTTCTTTTCTCAATTGTGAGAGAATAAAATATCTTAAGTGGGTTTGGAAAGAAGAGGTTAAAAAAAAAATAAAATAAAATCAAGTAAAGCAAACATTAGGTTTAAGAACATAACTCTTGGTTAAGCTCATTAAACTCCTAGGTAAGACCAACCAGCCAACCAAACTCAATCCTGAAGTTAATTCATGCCAGATTAGTGGAAAGGAAAATCAGCATCATCAAAAATTGACAGGAGAGAAAAGCATGCCAGTCAATAATCCCAGGAAACAACTGACAGATTTGAAGAAACAGTGGCTGAAATATGAATGAAAATCTACGTTCCTTCCATCTGACAACTTTCTTTCTCTTTCACATGCAAAAAGTTTATATGGAAGAATACTTAATTGCATTAACAAGAAAAAAAAATATTTTGAATTACAACAAAAAAAAAAAGAAAGAAAAAAAAAAAACACAAAACAGAAGACAGACATATTCAAAGTTTAATGTCATCAAGGGGAGATATAAATCAGATGGTTACATAGACTTTTTTTTTTTTTTTTTTTGTTCCTCCCAGAAAAGTTTTTTCTCACCTGATTTGAGATGAGCATAGTGACAAATTCAGTGAATGGAACCAAGACAAACAGACACTGATTTAAGCACCAAACTTTCCAGTCTCTTGCCTTCTTTACCTAATTTTGCCTTTTTATTTTTGTACACAACTTCAAAATGAATGTTAAATAAATGGTTTAATAATGGATGAAAATGTTACAGAGGCCATAAGAGAAATGTAACAGTTAAAAGAAAAGTCATTTTTTTTTCTTTAATGAAACCATCCAGCAAGGGTGAGTGTTATCACAGGAAAAATGAAATTAAAAAATTGAGAGCAATTGAGTATGTAATTCACACTTAAAATAGATCAAATTAGTGGAGGGGAATGTATTTCTTTCATAAGATTTTTTTTAATTCTTATTTTTAACTAATAAAAAAATGTTTGAGCTGTTAAGGGAAAAAAAAAAAATCTAAGTAGGGGAGATAACTATGTCTTGGTCCATTCCTAGAGTGTTATTGGGGAATTTTTATTTAATATTAAATAATTTTTTTTTAATACTTTAAAAATGAAAAAGAACTCAACAGCAGTAGAAAAAGCAGAAAATCTAGATACCAACTCGAGACTATATATAAAATTAGAAAATAAATGGCCATTTTTATTTCATTATTACCTAAAAGTTGATGAAGCAAAGATCCTCAGCAAAAATAAAATTGTTTTGCTATAATTTTACATTTTGTACAAAATATTATTCATTTGGTACAAATTTACTTGTTCAAAAAAAAAAAAAAAAAAAAAAAAAAAAATAAATGACAGCACAGTATCTAAATAATTTTGCAATGGCATTCGTTATATTTTCTGCATGGGAAATCTAGAATTTTTATCTATACAATTAACTATTATTACATGTAAGAAAGAATTCTGCTTTTAAAGCATTAAAAAAAAGTGGGGGGGGGATAAAATGGAGCTAACATGAAATAAAAAGCAATATATTAGCAGTCTGATCTCCCCTACTTACTAATTAGGTATGACAATTAAGGAAGAGGTCAGGCTGTGTGGCAATAAATATATAAAGTCACACTAATCTAGAAGAGATAGTAACTGCTTTATACAAGCAAAGTAATGCTGTCAAGTTGGAAGAGGGGGAATTTGAAGGAAACAAAAAGGTTTTTTTTTTTCATTTTAAGGCTGATCACAAATTGACAAAAAAAGAAAAAATAAATAAAAGGCCTTTTGATGAACAAACGTCATGGGAAAATGAAAATAAAAAAAAAGCAGAGGAAAAAAAAATAAAATAAAGGAAAACAAGGGGAGGTAACTGTTGAAGAGTTTCTAGATTTGTGCCTCGGCTTTGTGTTCATACTACTGAGAATAACACGGAGATAATTCTGCATTCAACCCTTTTCTTTTTGTGTTTTGTCCCTAGTACGTATATACGCCGTAGTGGATTAATCGAAGGCATTGTTATACAAGTCTGCATGTAAGTACGAGTCTGCATAACTTTACACCCCTTAGAAAGGGGGGGGGGGGCAACACATCTAAGACACATATTAGAAGGTATCAATTGCTTAGAAAAAGGTAAGTGTGTGTGTTTTTTATTTTTTGGAAAGATTGAATGTATATGAATAAGGAAAGTAGTAAACAATAGCGTCAAGGCTAAATTAAGTGTGTGTATATAGGGGGGGGGAAGCACCGTGCGCCTGGTGTCAGTGTCAGGTGCACATATCCCCGCCATTATAAATATGCAGATTGGAAGATGTGTTAGAGTTCTCCTCAATGTACTTTTCCACATTTTAACAAAATATCAAAACTTATTCTAATCAACCTGTGCAGGTTAACTATACATTCGTTGCCCAAAGTCCCTAAATAAGGGAATCTTGGAACACCTTGCACTTCATTTTGAAAGAGTGAAGACCAGTAAAACATTATTCATAAACTCCTGAAGACCTAGATATTTAAAAAAAAAAAAAATAAATAAATAAAATAAATAAAAAGTACCGATCTCACAAACTGTTTAGAGTAGCAAAGTTGTACTAGTTCTTTTGTTTTATTTAAAGTTCAAATACTATAAGTTTCATTAAAAGTAAAACTCAAGATGAGAATAAAATGACATTCCTGCTGAAACTGAAGGCAAAATTTTGGCAGTTCACCTTTGACCTTTCAATATGTTACCTTACAATTAAAAATGATGATAATGATAGTGATATCTGGCAGCTGAAGAGAGAGGGAAAAACTTTTTACAAAGAACTAATGGATGGAAGAGATAAACCCTTGGTTGACCTTTTGACCTGAATAGGAATAGGGCCCCCCGAAAGGCTATGTAGCCCTTCCTCGGGTTCCCCATGTGTCCCCCAGGTCTCACATTCTTTTCTTGTCCTTTGATTTCAATGCCAGTCAACAATGATCAAGGAATATTTTGGGCCCCCGAGTTGAGGGCATTAGTATGGGTCACGTGTAGGGTTCTGCTCCTACAGCAACTCCGTGTCCACTGCGGCCACAAGTCATATTGGTAATTTCAGTCCAAATGTTACTGTCTGGATCGTAACATTCCACAGACGATAAAAAGTCATTCCCATCATAGCCACCTGAAAATAAAGAAATAATCAAATCAGTTGCAGATAAAATGTCATCTTTCGTCTTTGTTCAGAATTTCTGTCATATCATCCACTACCATCAATGTTCTGCTGCCTGAACAGCATGGTAAAATTAAGTTTTTTAGTTTGTTTTCGTTTTACAAATTGACAAATAATAATCAAAACATTTTTAAATTTTAATTTATGTCAAAAAAATTAAATGTAAGTTAAAATAAGATGTAAAAAAGATCTCTCATTTTTCTCAAATTAAATAAAATCTTAATTACTTAATAAACTGTAAATTACAAAATTCTTATAATTAACCAAAAAAGTTAAAGGAAGAAATGAAATAAAATTAAAAAAAAATGGTTATGACTTTCAGATGAGAATTTTAACTGAAATAAAAACCATTTTGTAAAATGTTTTTTTTTTTTTTTTACATTAAAGTTCATCCTGTACAAGGCCCAAGAGCCACTCGAGGTAGATGCTTACAGATTAAGAGGCACAGTTTATAGGAATATGTGGGGAAGATAATGGTTGACCCTAGACTTGAACAGCTTCAAGATTATAGTAATCAGGAAAGCTTCTCCTTGGGAGTTGGTTCTACAAAGAAAGGAGTTCATGGGAAGGAGTTGCTTAAGAGGAACTTCCATCTCACCAATGGAATACAAAGAGAATGAGGGTGGTTCACTATAATGGGTGTGGCTAGGCGGGTCTTAGCTGTGGAGGTTAGAACTGGTTCATCTGAACACTTTCCATGGAAATAGTGATAGAGCAATGAGAGATTTGCAACATTTTGTTTGTGGAGAAAGAGACTGCAGAAGTTTTACTCCATTTTGGGCTTTGAGTCCCAATAGGCACTCAAGGAAGAGCAACCCCCCCCCCCCCGAGCAAACACCCGCTTATCATGAGTGGTGAAAGTTCTGAGTCTGCTTGGTGATAATGGAATTTCACTGTTTTTTCAGGCATTGAATGTGACCTGCCAGTTTTTCTCTCCATTGAGCTGCTAATTTCTAGTCATCAAGGCTTTTGGAGGTCCACCCATATGCCATTGTATCATTAACATAGATATTCTTCATAAATGATCAGAGTATACTCTTAGACAGATCATTTATGTAAAGTAGAAAAAGGGCTGAACTAAGAAAGAAACCTTGAAGGGTACCTACATTTATCCCTTGGAGAAACAGTATATACACTTAACACCTTCCACAGACTTGGGAAAGATTTCTCCCTCATCAGTGGTTAAATAATTGGGAGTAACTCTGGGTTAATATTCTTAAGGATAACCACTAGAATTTTATAAAAATATTATGAGATTGTGCACAGTGAGACATGTTGAGTTTGAGACAAAGACCTTCACCTTATTTGACTAGAATAAGATGATCTCAGAGCCATTTATAATCGTAGGCACTGACGCTTTGCCTTGATTCAGAATTTGGTTGGAGATTTTCCAGAACTCCTGGGATGCAAGTTGTTTGCTTTTGACCTTGACTGTAACTGCTTGTGCATAGCTCCATTTTGCATTTTATAGAACTCTCTTCCTATGATTGCAGGTAGTTCTGAATGCAGCAAATGTCTCACTACGTTGTCCCTGTGATAGATACTGCAGTAGTGAATATGGTGAGCTATCACTGAAGTTGTGGTGAATCAGAGCTGGCTGTTTGTTTGTTTTTCTGGGGTATAAAACTCTCCATTCTAGAAAGGATCCATTCTGAGACCAGAGCAGCAGTTTTGGAGGCAGTGTGTTTGAATGTTCCAGTCAGCTTTTGTGTACCAAATAAAATCATTCTATGGAATCAGAACATCATTGGATACCTTTGGTTTGACATGAACTTTAACACTGACTAGTGAAGGATCTGAAGTGACCAGGAGTAGGGGAGGGCAGGATGTGAGAAAGACATCAAAGAGGTTTGCATCAGGAGCACTGGTGGGTTATTCAATGATCTGTTTTAGTTTGTAACTGATGGAGAAGTCTCGAGAGTATCTGCCTTCTTCATCAGTTTTGTTCAAGTGGATTAACCATTCTTTGTGGTGAATATTGAAATCACCACAAACATGAAAGCTAGCTGAGGGAATTTCAATGGGGATATTATCAATCTTCTCAGATATTTGGTTGAACATTACAGTTCTGTGATACTGTGGACAAGTGTCACGTGGAAGTACATGTGGGAGATCAGTTTAGCTATGTTTAGCTATTAGGGACAGGTAGCTTAGGATTGTGAATTTCTGCACTGGGATAGAGGTAACAATACCAGTTTCAGACAGGAATAGGAGACCAAGTTTGGCATTGAGAAGATGGAAAGTTGGAACGTAGACCCCCTTACATTAGTGTAGGAGATGGTGAACCTGGGTTTTTTATTTTTTGTTTTAGTGAGGTTGGGTTTGATTTTTTTGTTCAAATCACTTGTGTTCATGTTTGGAAATCAGTATGTTTGGCAGCAAAACTAGGTAGTAATATATTTAAACTCACAGGAGATGCATTCAACAACAACTTGGATTTTATTGTCTGGAGGTACAGCCGTAACAGTAACCTTCATCATGGAATCGAAAGGCTCCACTGAAGACTAATGCACGGTCCGGATCCCATTCACAAAATGGCAGTACAATTGCCCCAGTAATATTACCCACTAGCTGAAGTTGCTCAAAGCTTCTGACTCTCAGGCAAATAATGCCAAAACCCAGAAAATGTTTACCTCCAGCACCCTTAATGAACGGACAAATAATCCAAGAAAGAAGATACAGGTGTGATACCCTGAGTGTACATGTCTCGTCAACCCAGAAAATAAAGCAACAGAACTTTTTGAGTCAGAAATATTGTACTGGGGGAAGGAGTAGGGAGTAACATACATTGCTCAGGGGTGCACCAACATCTCTTACACCCACCCTGGACTTAATACTATCATAGGAATAAAATTACATGAACAACAACAACTAGAATTTATCATTATTTGTTGGGGGGAAAAAATCTGCCTTAAGTACAAAATGAATTACGATAAAGTGTCATGTGGGATCCAGTTAAACACCTATTATAATGTTCGTTCTTATGAATTGGCAAGATTTGATTGACTTCCATTTGGGAGTTGAATCCAAGCCTTTTTAATGGTTACCAAGTCTCATTTCATCTCGTATATCCCGCCCCCACCCACACTCTAGTGATTTCCAACCTTGGCATGTTTTTTTTCTTTCTTTCATTCTTCATGTCTGCTTTCACTCCCACCTCATTCCCCCCTTCCTCCACCCCCGTCCTTCCTCCACTTAATATTATTATGTAAATTTCTTGATTAGAAAGCGTAAAAGGGTCCAGATGAGAAGGATGAAAGATCTGGCACAGATACTATACTGATCCCATGTACATCTAGCACAGATACCATACTGGCCCCATGTACATCTGGCATCATTGTTCTACATATAAGCAAGTAAAAGAAAAGCATAAATTTCCTGATCTGATTAAATTCTTTGTAAATATCACAAGTACTTTTATTAGAAAGATATTAATCAGTAAGGGAAAGAAATAAAGTTTATCAAATTGTATTTATAATGCATTATCTTTGATTTCCAGTATCTGCACAATTAAAGTGCATCAGATGCATGGACAGCTACAGTAACAGTGCACCTGATGCACCTGACACAGTTGCAGAGCCATGGACATTCTTAGTTATATTTTGCATTTCACATGTTTGCTTTTATTAGATTTCACATGTGTTGTTGGAGATTTTTTTTTTCCTCCTAATAAATGAATCTTTTCATCAGCTGTTCATGTTGGTAAATAAAATTTACGATGTCTAAGTACTTTCGACTAACAACAAACATCTTTGAAAATAGCTAGTGTTAACAGCAAATACTTGCAAAGATGAAAAAAATTCTTTGAACTGTCGAAACTGCTCTAGATATTTACTGAACTTATCTTAGTCTGACAAAAGGTCACAAGTGTGAGGGCGTCCAATGAAAATTGAATTATTAACAGCAGTAATGGTTTATCACCTCCTATTCAATTAAAACTTGCGGCTTTCATATCTTTAAGTTGAGGTTGGAAAAAATATAAATAACACTGACTTACCTAAGGCATAAAGTTTAGAACAGATGACAGCTACACTGAGTGCACTCCTTGGACTGTTCATAGGAGCAACATATTGCCAAACATTAGTTTCTGTACAATAACGTTCCACAGAACGAAGCTGGCAATTGCTATCATATCCTCCCACGGCATAGATATAATGGTCCATTCCTATCACACCTGCACAATTAGAAAAAAATAAAAAATATCAAATAAACTTTTGTTTCACTCTTTTATACAGGGTACCCTAGTTAAAGACACATCAACATTTTTTAGATTTGATTAGATAAAAAAAATTATATTTCAGAAAATATCAAATAAAATCTGTGTCTGTTCACGTAAAACAAAATTCAGTTTTTGTTTAAATAATGGAAATAAAGATTTCTATTATTTCTAGAGAATAAAAGAACATGGCTAGGTTTATATATTGAAAACAACAGCAACAAGCAAAAGGACCCCCCACACTCAAAAGAAACCCCTTCTTTGTATCAAATTGATCAACATCGCTAGAGTCCACGTTAAGCACAAATAGATAAGAAATTTGTCATTTTTCATTTAACGAGCCTTATCAATTCATTAAAGTTTGTTTTCTTTCAATTTGTAATTTTTTTCTAAATTTAAATCCTCTTGCACATATTTCGTAATCTGAAAACCTTAGTAAATGCTACTAAAGAATGAGAGAAGCCTACCACAGAGTGATGGTTAACGAACTAGTCCCATTGAGTAAAGTAGAGAGTTTAATTATTAATATTATTATTATTATTATTATATTAAATAATCATAGTATGTTTGATGGCAGAGATAGTTGTAGTTTTTCTACTGGTGCTTGTCCTCAGCCTTTAAAGCCAGCAGGGTTAATGCTGATTTTCAAAACAGGTAGCCAAGTACTCAATCACACTCAATCTTCTCGCTTACATTTCCCCAGTATTGTTTTGGGGCTGAGTGAAGCTAATTAGAATAAAGATTTATAGATGATGATGTGCTGTGCAAGTCACAGCCATTTGAAATTAGTGACCTTGCTATAAAGACTATTTTACACTGAAATTACATGTGTAATGTAAACTGGAAAAGTATCTGAAACAATCTACCCCACCATGGACTAAATAATGGGTTCAGTTTGAAATTTCAATGTATATCACCTGATGGGGGCCAGAGTGTACAATGGTCAAAACATTGTGAATATGGCAACAAAGATGGGGACAACAGTCTGAACGATGTATAAATATTTACAAATATCAAATCTCAGAAATATAGTTGGATGATAGATATTTCTATTATTTATCTTTAAATGTGAAAAATATTAGGATGTAATTGGAAGAAATAAGTTTGCTTTAATAAAGAAACAAAAAAAAAAAAAAATTTTTTTTTATCAATTTTTGGTTAAAACTCTTGAATAAACTATTAACAGCATCTAATTTATAAGTTATAAAAACATACACGTTTATTTCAGGCACACTGTTTTTGTTTTATTCTTCATTTATTTTTTCAATTCCTAAAAATTGTTGAGTAAAAATTAAAATAAAAAATAAAGTGACATGTTTAACTGTTGACCAATATTTTTTCATCAATGTTAATTCAAGTGGAACTCATTTTACTTGCTTCTGAATTTTCCCTCAGATTTGGAAACAATATAGTAAAGTTGACTGATTGCAATTCTAAGATTTCCCTAACATTGTGCAAAATATGGTGCCAAGAACATTTGCATACCTGGGTCACTTAACGTCAAATTCATTTGAACAGTAACAAACGTTCTGATATCTGTAAATGAAATTGTGTCAAAAATCCTGGGTACTTAAAATGAAGAAATAATCTGAAAAGAAAGTGTGCCTACCTGCTCCACTCCGCACGGTATTCATTGGAGCAAGGAATTTCCACTCATCTTTCTCTGGATGGTAGCATTCAACACTGCGCAGACGGTTATGCCCATCAAACCCTCCGACAGCGTACAAAAGCCGATTGACCACACCTACACCAACACCAATTCTTTTCGTCTCCATAGGAGATGTTTGGATCCATTTCTCAGTGTCTGGATCATACCTGCAGTAAATAAAAATTAAAATAAATATGCATTTAATTACTTGGCTTATGAATTAACAATACTGGGTCATTTTATTTATTTTAACAAATCAATTCTACCTGTTAATTCTTTAACTCTTAAAGGCAAACTATTTTTTTTCATATTTTCCGTGTTCTTCTGGTCTGGTCTTCACATGTCTACACATTGAGAGCACATCCCTTGACTTAGAAAAACACTGGTGTTATATAGCTCTCCCAGTCCCAGACCCACGCAGACTATACCTGCCCAGTATCGTTCATATGGGAATAGTCAGCACCACCTACACTAAGTAGAAGATCTCTCAACAGCTCATTGAGGAAAGGGGATGCAACTCCTGCTGCTTACAGCACCACATACAACCAACTCATTTTTAACAGGCTGAGCTGATTCTGTTACATTTTCATTTCAAAAGGATCAAAGAAATGACAGAATCTCACAGAATATTCAATGTTATTTATTTTCAAATGCAATAATAGTCCACAATTATTCAGTAAATTAATTCTTTTTAATTAAAAAATAATTATTTTGAGATCTAAAATGTGTTTTTTTTTAGGTTTACAAATATTATTTCTGAAGACTAAATCAGAAGATTCATTATTATTTACTAAACTAAATTAAAAAAAAAAAAAAGAAAAAAAAATGGTTTTTATCCCAAAAATTATTTTATAAAATTTTTTAATTATATTTAAGAAATACAAATCCCTTGTCAGTTGAAATTGCATCCAATTAAAAACGAGAGTCTGCATTGAATATGATTGCTATTTAATGAAATATTGTCAACCATCATTAAACTTTTGACTTGCATTTCTGTTATTTTAATCTCATTAATGCAATAAAAACAAACCTAATTAAAAGGGACAAGAGGAAAACTTCAATTACAGACATTAATAAGAAAAAGAGAAAAAAAAGCCCCTATAGAATGAGGTAACTGGCTATCAATCCACACTTTTCAGAACTTGATCAAGGAAATGAAAATATCGTGTATATCAAGATTATCCTTTTAGCTAGTATAGGCTGCAGCATAGGCACGGATTATCCTAAAGGTTGGTATAGGTTTTAGCCTAGGTACAGTTTTCCTTTTCTCTTATATACACGTCTGGATTATCCATTAAGCTAATATAGGCTGCAGCCTAGGGGCCCTGGAGATTTTATAAATCAATAGTTTTAATTTTCTAGATGTTATAACATCTAAATAGTTTCAGAAACTGAAATGATATCAATATGACAAAATCATATTTATTTTGATTCTTTTATTGTTATAATGTTGCTGATAAAAATTTGTTTTTTTTTTTTGTTTTTTTTTTTTTTACAATGGTTGTGTTGAAATATTTGCTAATTTGGTTTACAATAAATAATAAAATAGTGGGATTTCTCAAAGAATATTTTTATTGATAAACAAAAGATAGGTATCCTAGTTTATTTAAAGAATTTATAATAATTTTACTTCAAGCTATGTAATTGCCAACAAAATATATCACAAGGAAAATATATTCAAGACAGGTGTGGATGAGTTAGGGTGTAGCTCTGTCTGAGTGGGAGGGAGGGTAAAATATCATAATCTGGGCCCCATTTACACAGATTAAAAATTAAAAATAGAAGGGAAACACAAGGAAAGAAAATGCAAACAATTTATTGCTTTAATTCAATTCTGTACCTTTAATAAAATATTTAAATATTAATTTCAGTTGTTTTTTTTATTGCAGCGACTGTCATTAGATTTTACTTCTTCCTAAATATTTCCTAATCTGAGAGAGGAAGAAAAAAAATGTCAATATTAAGTTATTTCCCATGTTTCACAAATTTCAAGAGCCAAGCAATATTTTTTTTTTTCAAACCACTGAGCTCTAAAACTAGGTTACTTGCCAATACATTTTACCCCTGGACATTTGGGGAAAATTTTACAATTTTATGACTGCCTGTGTAACACAACCTATCAGCAGTGAAGAGCAGCAAATGGCCTGTACAAAGTTACTCATGTTGAACAATCTCATACTACTTAGCTGTGGAATTCTTTTTTGCTAGATTATATATTGGCAGGACTAGCAATTAAGCTTTTTATACAATTTTTTTTCTTGTGTTTGTATAAGTGTTTTCTTTTCTGGACATAAAGTCTAAAAACTGTCCAAATGTTCTGTATATATCTTTAGTGCTAATGGCTTTTCCATTAGCTATTATCAAGGATGTTTTTTTTTATTTTAATTTTTAACAGAATGTGTAAATTTTTTTTTTTTTACATGTAGATGAGGCTATTAGAGCTGTATTTAATTGTGAGAAATTTATGTTGCAGATGGAGTTTCCATGTTTGTTTAACACACTGCATTACTTCCCTTTCCACTGCATTCTTTTTCAAAGCCTCTCAATTGCAATAACCTTATTGTTAATTTCACTCAAAGTTGTTTTCTGTTGCCATAGTAGGATATGACAACACAAGTGTGAAATTCAAACACACTATCGTTCAGAGATCAGAGCCATCTGATAAGATGGTAAGATAAACATTTTGTACACCAAATGAAGTTACATATAGAGTGATGGAGGTTACATGAGTCCTAATTGAGTTATGGTTAAACAAATGTAACACGAGTCATCTTGATAGACATGTAGTGGTATGTCCTGTATAAATATTCAGGAATTTGGTCTAATATATATATATATATATATATATATATATATATATAATAAATATGAATGTCACTGTGTCACACTTTTTCAACTTTACTCCTAGGGGCCGTGGCCCAACATATCATACCATTTTGGAATCTGGCTGACTCCATGAGCAAATTAAAAGCATTCCAGGCTGGATCTGGACCCACAATCCTGAAATTGTGAATTCCCAAGTTTTCATGACTGCGATTGTTTTCGGCGATATTTTTATGTGATATTTTGCGATGAATTTTATTGTATGATGACAATATTCATAACTTGGAATTAAATTTGGGTATAATTGAAATTAGTTGCAAAATCCAGCAAAAGTCAACTATGAAATAAAAATAATTGTTTCTATGGAAACTAAGGCCCTACATACATCAAATTGTATTTAAATTAAATGGCAGCAGAAGAATATCATTGAACTTTTAAAAGGTAAGCTGAGATATTAATGCAATACTTAAATGCAGCAAACAGTTTTGAGTTCTGTAGTTTATTGTTGCCTATCAAACTACTTCTCCTTACCTATTGTGATGAAAGTTCAATCAAGAGCTCTCCGAAGGAGCTAGCTTAAAATGCCACCCAATAGGGTGGCTTTTAAGCTAGTGACATAATATCATTGCCAAAAAGAAGTTAATCATCATGTTTTTGTACAAAGACAATCTTGAATTATTATCAGAAATCTGTAAATAAAGAGTGCAGCCATTAGATTGACCTGTGATTGCTAAAAGGTTCAAAGTAATATTGTATGGAATAGTAAACTTCCAGCTCTTTTGTAGACTTTAAAATAGAGATCTAGGCTCTTACAAATGCTACAATCTTTTATGATAAACTCTTAATATCATGTTCAGCAGATTAATTTACAAGCAGACTGTATATTATATTTTTCAACAATACATTGCCCATTTGGGGATGTCATTTTGAAGCCCTTTGCATAGAAACAAGAAATGTAAAGTGGAAAATGTTCAGTTTAGGCTCAGAGTTGTTTTGTGATCATTGTATATCTGGTCAAAGAAACAAGAGAAATGACAATATTTGAAAGCATACAACACCTTGGCCTGATTTATATTTCATATTACAACATTATTGAATGATGATAAGTACAAATATTAGCAGTCAATTTACTATGACTATAGCTAATAGATTTGGTAATCAGGGACATTAAATTTGCATATAAAAATCCAGAAGGCTATTTTTTTCTTTAGCTGTTTTTCTTTTGTGTGAGGTAGGAAGGGTAGTTTATATTATCAAATATGGTACCTATTAAGGTAAATAATTTCTTTTATGGTCAAACTAAAGATAAAAAAATAAACAAAATTGTATATTTCTAATTAGTGATGGGACAATACCAATATTTTTATCGATTCCAATACAATTCCCAAAACTGTTCTAAATTTTTGATCCTAATATGATTCCCGATTCCAATAGCTACAATGATTAAAATTTATTATTTTCAAGCCCTACAGTTGGTTTGGGAAACTTAATGAATAAAGTACATTTATTAATAAAACATTTAATAGAAAAATGAATACAAAAGCTTATGAAATAAACTTAGATATCCTTTTTAAAAAATTGGTAAGATTTTAAATAATAAAGAGAACAATTTCCTTATGTAAATCACTTCTACAATTAACATTGTTTTACTTTTGTTATCATCAGAAATTTTAAAATCTTCCAAACTACACTTTTCTACTTGGCATTGGATATACTTGCCATAAGTGGGGTCTGAAAATAATAAACATTGGTTAAAATTTAAATTTTTCACTGTTAGATAAAAAATGTTTCTAGATTTTTTTAATGTGTATAATTTGTAAAGATTCAACTAATAATGGTTTGCTATTAATTGTAAAATAAGCGAAAAGGGTCTATTTTTTTGTCCACCTTATATATTTTAAGTTTTAACAAGAAAAGGTGCCCTCTACATATTATGCAATCTCCTTAAAATTTCATATGTGGCATTTTTCAATGAATGGAACAAATTATGGGGTGGCAATTCAATTTTAACATGCATTTCAAAAATAAGAGACACCATTATATATAATATTGCAACAATAATACTTTAAGCAGAAAGGCATCATCTTATGTATTGTGGTTCAACTCATACATAGATTTTGATAAAGTACAAGGAGTACCTAATCCTGTAGGATAGTGAATAAAAGATAAATGCAAATTTTAAATTTGATTACAGTTTAGTAAATATGAATTATCACAGCAACTTAATAAATAAATAATAAAGGGTCTTTAATCTTATCTAAAAAATTGAATCACGAATAAGTTTTACTGTCTAAAATAAATTTCTCACAACTAAATAATTTAATAATTTCTAAAAAACAATGAA